GTGGATAAGGAGGACGCCGATGAGGATGAGTGGCAGGACGCGTATGGGTCCAAACCATGATGGTGGCTATAAGGAGGATGGTTATGATTATGCTGCTGCTGTTGTTGTTGTTGTTGGTGTTGGTGGTGGTGATGTTGATGATGAGGATGCGGATGATGAGGATGATGATGATCCAGCTGAGCATGAACCTGATGCTGCTGATGGTGGTGATAATGGGTAGGCTGAGGACGATGACGAAGGTGATGATGCTGACACTGATGCCGATGATGATGGGGAGGTTGGATGGGGAGGGGGATAAGGATGCTAATGGGGGCGATGCGGACGCCGATGAGGCTGGGTGTCAGGATGCGAGCGGGGTCGATTATGCTGATGGTGCTGATGCTTATGCTTATGCTGATGCTGGTGCTCATGCTGGTGCTGATTCGATGCTGTTGAGGATGGTGGTTATGATGCTGGTGATGACGATGCGGAGGAGGAGGAGTGCGGCTAAAGAGGGCACGGCGGATGGTTGACGCATGGATGCAGTGGTGGATGAAGGGCCAGAGGAGGATGCCAGATGATGAGAATGAGGAGGGAGCAGACGAGAGATTGCTGCTTCTTTTTGATAGTGCTTCCGAAGACGACGATGATATTGCTGCTGCTGCTGCTTATGATGCTAAGGGTGCTGAGGATGATGACGACGAGGCTGATAATGATGAAGATAATGATGATGGTAATGATGGTAATGATGATAGTGATGATGACGTCGTGATTATGATGCTGCTGATGATGCTGATGAGGCTGATGATTATGATGCCGATGCTGATGTCGATGATGCCGATGACGAACGGTGGCGACACCGACGATGATGCTGCTGCTGCGGATGCTGCTGCTGCTGATAACGACGAGGACGATGTATGATGATACTGGTGATGACGCTGATGATGATGATACTGATGCTGATGCTGATGCTGACGATGATGATGATGATGTTGACGACGACGGCTATCATCATGGCCATGGCGATGACGGTGACGATAACGATAAATATGATGACGATCATGATTATGATGATGCTGATGATGCTGATGATCATAATGAGGATGCTGCTGCTGATGATGAATATGACGATGACGATGACGATTGCGATGACGATGACGATGGCGATGACGATTATGATCATGATGATAATGAGGATCATTAAAATGCTGATGTTGATGATGATCATGAGGCTTACTACTCAGTTGGCGATGATGATGAGGAGGGGGAGGAGGATGACAATGTTGTGGTGGATGCTGTTGTTGTTCTTATTGTTGTTGCTGTTGTTGCTGCTGACGATGCTGATACTGCTGCTGCTGATGATGATGCTGACGATGATGACGATGCTGATGATGCTGATGCTGATGATGTTGATGATGCTGATGCCGATGCTGATGATGATACTGTTGTTATTAGTGTTGTCGTTGTTGTTGTTGTTGTTGTTGTTGTTGTTGTTGTTGTCGTTGGTGGTCTTGCTGATAACCAGGACCACCATGATCATGTTGATGATGCCCTTCTCAGAGGAGGAGGAGGAGAAGGAGGTGGAGGAGGAAGGGGAAGAGGAGGAGGTGGAGGAAGAGGAGGGAGGAGGAGTGTCGAGGAGAAGGGGAGGAGGGATGCGCGGCTTCGGAAGGATCAGCAGCTCCAGAAGGGCCAGTCCGAGGCGAAGTATTTGTTCCAGAGGGAGAAGTCGTACCGGGAGCAGCCCCGCGGCCGCCTCGCGCGACCCGGCGCCTGCGAGGGGGCAGCAATCGGCGGCACCCCAACATACTATACTGTAGTTGCGCCGTCCCCTCAGGGGCAACGCGCGCACCGAGAAGTCTTATAGTATATACGCCGTGGCGTGCCCTTTCTGACCACACCGCTCGGGAAACGATATACTACACGATGGTATACTATATGTTCGGGTCGGACGCGCGCCTCCAAGGAGGACATATAGTATTAGTATGTCTCTGTGCTTCCCAAGCCAGAGAGAAGGAGGGGAGGGGAGGAGCAGGAGGAGGAGGAGGAGGAGGAGGAGGAGGAGCAGGAGAAGGGTTGCAGGAGGAGGAGGAGGAGGAGGAGGGGGAGGAGGAGGGGGAGGAGTGAGTGAGATGGAGGAGGAGGAGGAGGAGGGGGAGGAGGAGGAGGAGGCAGAAGAGGAGGAGGAGGTGGAGGCAGAGAAGGAGGACCAGATGCAGGAGAGGAGGATGAAGAGGAGGAGAAAGAGCAGGAGGGAGAAAGAGGGAGGAAGGAGGGAGAGGGAGAGGAGGGGAGAGGAGGAGGAGAGGAGGAGGAGGAGGAGGAGGCAGAGAAGGAGGAGAGATGCAGGATGAGGAGGAGGAGGAGAAAGAGCAGGAGAGAAGAGGGAGGAAGGAGGGAGAGGGAGAGGGAGGGAGGAGGAGGAGGAGGGAGGAGGAGGAGGAGGAGGAGGAGGAGGAGGAGGAGGGGAGGAGGAGGAGGAGGAGGAGGGGGAGCAGGAGGAGGAGGAATGATATGAGGAGGAGGAGGAGAGGGAGGAGGAGGGAGAGGAGTGATTGAGATGGAGGAGGAGGGGGAGGAGGAGGAGGAAAATGAGAAAGATGAGGAGAAGGAGGAGGGGGGAGGACCAGCGCACGGCTTCGATGAATGTCTGATGGTTCCGCCGCGCCTCATCGCGGCGACAGAGGAGAAACCTTCGATGAAGTCAATTTCCCGCTGGCGAGTCGAAGAGCCTTCCAGCCGGGCATAGAGATTGCTATCCGCTTTCGCCGTGGCCATAGGGAGGGCTTGCTGCCCCCTGCTCTTCGCACACAAGCTGGGCCAGGGGGATCCCAGGCGTGCTAAAGATGATCTGGGAGTCCTTCGAGCCCTTGGGATCGCGACCCTCTTGGACGCGGGTCAGTTCAGGCGCAGTATCCGCGGATGTCAAATGATTGTGGCAAGCACGGGTTGAACCTCGACCCACTCCTTCATAGTACGACCCACGCTTGTGACAAGCCAAGACGGAGATCGGCTGGTCGAGGTGCTCGTAGTAAGACAGAACATGGCCCTTGGGATCCTGCGCTAAACCAGAAAGCACTTTGCAGTGGCCAGGGCACTTCTCAGCCTCCAATGTAAGACGCTGCTTATAAGATCGGGTCTGAGCCCGACAGATGATGCATCTCCATGTGCCAAACATCTGGACAAAGCCGTGGAACCTGCGGGGCTTCTCGGGAGGCTCGGGCGAGGCCATGGGTGGTGGGGGAGAGGCGGCACCCGACGGGGGGGAGAGAAAAGCTGGTCTCAGGGGTGGTCATCGCTTCATTCTTCCTCGGCGCGATGGCTGGTCACCTTCCCAAAGCGACTGCAGCATATCGGAGGAACTTCCCACACAGGGGATTATCTTTCTGATGGCCTTGCTTTTCGGCCTCTCTGGGCTGCACCCTTTTGGTTGCAGCAGCTTTGGCATGGTGGTCGGCGGGATCGTTGCCCGCCGCCAACCTTCGAGCCTTGCTACCCCTTGGGAGGGCTTCACGTCCTGGTGGACTTTCACCTTTAGGAGCCTCCGCCCCAAAGGAACGAGCCCCTTACCAGCAGCGAGCACCTGAAACCCTGTCCACAGGTTGCGCCGTGGGCATTCGTCACCACCATGCACCTCTAGTGCCCCATTCTAAATATTAGTAGATGGGTTCTAGCCGCGAGGTGTTCTGCAGCACCTGCCCTTTGAGTGAAAGCCTTACCTACACGCCACACACATGCGCGAACATATTGCCAGCACGCATGCACACCACCAAAACACCAGCGGCGTTAAAGACATAGTGACCGTGGTCAGTGCAACTACCATCTGTAGATATCTCTCCTTCTCTAATCGCTTCCGCAGGGCGGACGCCGTCTTGAGCACACCAGAACTCCCCAACCTCCAGGCCCGTCCCAGGAGGAGGATCCCCTTCACACTCGGGCAGCCACTGGAAACCCAGGAGTACAGGGCGGGCCTCAAGGGGGGAAGGCTCTCGAATTCTCTGAGGCTCATCCTCCGAGAAGTGAGTTTGTCTCTGTGCTTTTCGGTCTCCGAGATATGATCCAGGACTCCAGGTCAACGGGCCCCCACCCCCCCCACAGATGGGATGGGTCCCAGGGCTCCACGGGCTCCCCCCCCCTGATGGGACGGTGAGGGGGACGACGACGACGACGACGACGACGACGAGGACGACGACTACGACGACGACTACGACGACGACGACGGCGACGACGACGACGACGACGACGACTACGACGACTACGACGACGGCGACGACGACGACGGCGACGACGACGACGGCGACGGCGACGGCGATGGCGACGACGACGACGACGGCGGCGACAACGACGACGGCGACGACGGTGGCGACGACGACGACGACGGCGACGGCGACGACGACGACGGCGACAACGGCGACAACGACGACGACGACGACGGCGACGACGACGACGACGGCGACGACGGCGACGGCGAAGACGACGACGACGACGGCGACGGCGGCGGCGGCCCCCGACCCCCGGAGCCCTCCGGCGACGACGGCGGCGGCGGCGACGACGACGACCTCCGGAGCTCTTCTGGATCACCACGGTACCACGCCACACGCGCCACACCCACAGCACCACACCACACCCACGAGGAGGGGGGCCATCGCGCTGGGGGGGGGGGGGCGATGGCATCAGCATGAGGGGGGGGGGCGGGGGCCCAGACTCTGGACCATATATATATATATATATATATATATATTCTGATTTCGAGGCGTTGTCTGGGATGATGTGCGTTCGGTTCACGGAGCTAGTCGTGATCGGGCGGTGTTTAGGGTGAGGCGCGCGTGGGCAAGCATCTCGTGGTATCTGCTGCAAACGCTTCCGAGGGGAGTGGGATACACATCCCGTGTTTTGTTGTGGGCCATGTTCCCGTGTTGTGACCAGTCCGTACAGCTTGCGCCGTTGCAGTTCCGGTTACTTACGGATGCCGATGAACAAGGTAAGCTATTGAGTCGTAGCGCACCGCGTTTGGGTTCATGGCTCGACATTCTGTCTGCGCAAATCTCACTTTCACCTTCCGTTCTGACCGCGGCTCCTCTCCTGATCTTGGTGCCTTATGATCATGGCTCCTCCTCCTCTTCCTCCTCCTCCTCCTCCTCCTCCTCCTTCCGGTTTCCCCTGTGCGACTCCCCGTCGCTCTGCATTGAACCCATTTAATCCTCCTCCTCCTCCTTCCGTAGCCATTTTGGCTCCAGAGTTTTGCGCAGATCTGTATCCGGCACCGTATACTTTGGGACCTATTGACGAGGCCATGGCCTCATGGCACGCCGCGGTGGCCAGGGCCCTGCTTCTCTCGGCCTGGGCCGCCCCGGTGTCGGCGCTCGTGCTCGAGCCGCGGCCTGGGGCGAGCGGCGGGGCCGTCCTGCGGAGGGCCTCGGTGGATGGCGCAGCGGCGTGTGAGCAAGGTGCTCACCACCCACCAAACCACCCCAACCCAACCCGAAGGCTCAGATTTATCCTCGATTTCCAGTGGGGGGGGGTCGGGAAACATCGAAAAAACACGTGTGGAACCCTTACCCCCCCCCAACCCGAAATTCGGGTCTTCGGGTTGGGTTGGGGTGGTCTGGTAGGTAGTCAGGTGCCTCACCGACGGTGGAAGATGTGCCCGTGAAGGCGGACGCTGCGGCGAGAAACCCAGACCCCCTCGCGTCGTGGAGCGGAATCGCGACGGGAGGTTTTTCACTGGCTTCGGCCTCCAGGGGCCCGCACCGGGCCTCAGGAGCGTCAACGAAAACGGCTCGGGAGGAGAAACCAGTCCCGGGGAAAAGGTCCAGACCTCTGGGGGTCGACTAGGGGGCCACATGCGAACCCTACCCCTACCCCCGACGATTCCTGAAGGGGAGGGTGGGGTTCACTTCGTTCGGGAGCTTCCGAGCGAAGTGAACCCCACCCTCCCCTCCAGAAATCGTGGGGGGTAGGGGTAGGGTTCGCATGTGGCCCCCTAGTCGACGTCGTGACAAAAACCACGACGCCGGGGGGCTGGGAACGGCGCCGACGAGGCCGAGGCCCGGAGGCAGCAGCCGGTGCAGCGGCTGATGGCGGAGCATCAGGAGTCGCAGGCGGAGGTGCAGCAGCTGGAGGTGATGGGCCTGTTTTCCACCACCACCACCACCATAAGTTGGACCTCCTTCTCCTCCTCCTCCTCCTCCTCCTCCTCCTCCTCCTCCTCCTCCTTCCCCCCTCCAACTTATGGTGGTGGTGGTGGTGGAAAACAGGCCCATCAGGAGGCCCAGGTTGGGATGAAGGCCTTTTACGCGGAGATCGACGCCTACTGCGAGAACGCCGCGCCGCTTTGGAAGCAGCTGGTCGTTCCCTTCGCGGCCGTCCTGATGGGGCTGCCGCTGATGCGGTCGGAGGGGACCCTCAACACCATCGGCAAGGTGTGCATCTTCTTTGGCGCGCAGACGTTCATGAACCTGTACATGAAGGTCGTCCTTTCAGGCAGCATCGTCTCCAGGGAGTTGCATCTCAAGGGCTACCCAGCCGCCTTCGCCGTCACGGGTATTCAGCAGATAACGAGTTTCGTCATTATCATGTTGGGGATTGCGTTCCTGTGGTTTTCGCCGTGGCGCTACAAACCAGTGATCGTGGACACGAAGTTCGGCTGGCTGACGGTGCTGGCCTTCTCAGTCACCTTCACTCTGAACATCGCGCTCAATAACTTCAGCATGTCATTGCTACCTCTGTCGGTCAACCTCATCATGCGATCTTGCTCCCCGCTCTCGACCTTCTTCTGCGAAATCGCAATGGATAAGGCGGCTGGCAAGAGTGTCAAAGACATCAATGTGATCGAGGTCTCGATGATGCTCCTGGGCATATTGTGCGCTGGCCTGGCCGTGGTGAGCAAGACCCAGCTTTCCAAGGCCAGCGCTGACCCAGAGGCTGGGTCCAACGTCGTTTTGGGTGTGATCGTTTGTCTGGTCTCCCTCGTCTCTGTCTCGCTGAACATGGCGCTGGTGGGCCTCATGGGCACCAGCCTGAAGATGAATCCAATAGATACGGCGCTGTACATGGCGCCTCTGTCGGCACTGATGCTGCTGGTACCCGTTTTCTTCATGCCCCACCCGACCGAGTGGCCTGGCGCCATGATGACCGATTGGCAGATCACGAAGACGGTGGCTCAGCACGCGCCTGAGGTGCTTGGCCTTGCGCTCTTGTCTGGCGCCTTCGCGGTGTGCTACAACGTGCTGACGTACTTCTTCGTCCAGTCGCTCTCCGCGACGCACGCCGCCTTCGCCTCCAACTTCAACAAGGCCGCCACCATCGGCATCGCCGTCATGGTTGGCCTCGAGAACCTCCCCTTCAGCGGCTGGGGCCTCGTGATGGCCTGCAGCATCGGCGGAAACATCGCCGCCTTCACGGCCTACAGTCTCTTCAAGGCAGGAGCCTTCGACGGCGCCAACAGGGGCAAGAAGTGAGGGCGCTCCGCGAGGGGGGGGAGGGGGCCAGAGGGGTCCAGGGGAACGGGACGGAAGGGAGGGAGGGAGGAGACGTCGCCCGGGAAGTGTCGGGGGGGAGGATTTGAATGTCAGCGAGGATCGTGTGCGGCACACGATGCTTTGGCACAAGTCCGTAGCCCCGACATCATGCAACACTCCCATCCTGATGTGATGCAGCGTGCGCTGTTGATAGCTTGTTCTATCAACGGCTCGTTGCGTGGTCGGCACCGGGAACATGTCTCGGACAAAGCCGCTTTGATTGCTTGTTGCAGGCGGTTGGCCTCGCAGCTTTAGAGCCAGATCGCGCCCGTTGCGGCCACACCGTAATGATTGTTGCCCGCGCGTGGCCTGACCAGATTTCTCCTCCTTCTCCCATCTCCCGTCCTTCCTCACCACCGAGTGGTTGGCTCTTTGACGGCGCAGCCCCATCGTGTCGAACGCTCGCAGGGAGAGAGCGTAGCCAGATTTCCCCGGGCGGGGCGACGCGAGTCTGGTCCATCGAACTCGTGCACGGCGGGAAGGCAGCCGTGCTCCTGGGGGGCAGCTGCGGTGCACCCGGCTCCCAGGAGGGCCGCCCATGGTCGATTGCGCGCTCCCACACCTTCCACCCCTGCTGCCTCCACCGCCCCTTTCCTTCACCCCACGTCGAAGAAGAAGAAGAAGAAAAAGAAGAAGAAGAAGGATAATAATAATAATAATAATAATAATAATAATAATAATAATAATAAGCTACTGCGTAATCATGCACTTTCGAACGTCCGCGCAGATTTCTGGGATCTGCGCTGGAGCCCCTTTGGGGGCGCCTCCAGCGCCGATCCAGTGAATGCGCACGCACCTCCGGAAATTTATGTTTGTGCCTTTGATTGTTCCTCGATTACAGTCAACCCTCACCGTAAGGATTAGCGACTTTCCAAGGTGACACTCGCATCCTTGCCCCTTCGGCCCATCCCCAGCCGATTTCGCTGGCCGCGCCCCGCTCGCAAAGGGTCGACATGGCCTTCCAAGGCCCTTGCATCCTCATCGTGCGTCCTGATCAGATTGACGGTTTGACTGTCTAGGGTCGTCGTCACATCAGCCTTCAGCATCTCGGCCCGGTATCGCCGCCTCAAGAGAGCATCGGGAGCCTTGAGACGGGGGTCGATGCAAACGGGGGTCAGCCAGGGCGCCAGCCAGATCTTAAAGGATCCTGCAGAGCCAGGGTCGCATTGACCCGGGCTTGGGTGCAGGACCCTGCAGGATCTTGCAGAATCATGCAGGGCCAGGGTCGCATTGACCTGGGTTTGGGTGCAGGATCCTGCAGGATCCTGCAAGGCCTGACTGACCCGGGTCTGGATGGACCCGGGTCAGAAGATCCCCGACGGCAGATGGCCAGGGGCGCTTGCGGCTGCCGAGGCGTTCCAGAAGCCCCCCAGACCTCGCGCCTTCGGTAGCAGACAGTGCGGCGTGTGTAGGGTCCTTCGCAGTTTCTTGTAGACCTCGAGCCTTCGGCAGCAGACAGCTCGGCGTGTGTAGGTGTCCTTCGCAGTTTCTTGTGTAAGCCTTTGCTCCGGCACGCACGCATAAGAACTTCGTGCTATGAGTGTGGTCCGCCGCCCGCGGCTTCCTACCCCCCTTCGTCGCCTCGTCCTTCTCTTGTGGTGCCCAATCGGGCTCTGGTGTGCCCCCCGCTGCCCCGGCCGCGTCTTGGGCCCAAGTCGCCGCTGACAAAAAAGTGCCGGCGCTGCACAGTTTCCACACGTCATTGTTCCCTCGTGTCCGCACTCTCAGTAGCGCCTCGCTCGTCGACCTGGCTGCGCTCCATCACGGCAGGTTCCAGCCAGGCCTGGCGCGGCCGCGGACGAGCACTAGGGGAACAAAACGTTACATGAGGCATGGACATGAAACGGAGGTCCGCGCTGGTTTCTTGTATCAGTGGCACCTATTGGATCGGTGCTGGGCCCCCTTTCTGGCGCGCGGAGCGCTCCAGGGGCTGTGCCAGAGACGCTGCCAGGGAAGTCCAGCTCCGACCCGAGGAAAATTATCCGCGCGGACCTTTGCAAGTTTATGTTCGTACAGTTTTTTGTATTTGTTTTAAAATTTGTTTTGTGCACAGATGCGCGCCGACGACGACGGCGGCGGCGGCGGCGACGACGACGGCTTCCAGAGCTCTCCTGGAGCACCACAGTACCACGCCACACACGCCACACCCACAGGACCACATCACACGCACAGGGGGGGGGACCATCGCGCGGGAGGGGGGGGAGCCGATGGCATCAGCATGAGGGGGGGGCGGCCTAGACCCTGGACCATATATGGCCGAGGTCGTCAGAGTGGTGGCCGCATTCACAGCCGGTGAGAAGATCATATCTCGCAGACTTCGCACGCCCCATGGTCCAGATACTCAGCGTCAGGACGTTTGAGGAGGGATCCTTTTTGTGGTCCTGTGTTGTCTGAGGAGGCGAGGATGATGCGAACTGTACAGACATCAAGAACAACGTCGGGGTAGCCCAACTTGAACGCGGCTTTCGCAGCGAGCTGGGCGTGCCAGTCAAACTCCACTAGATTTTGGAGGGAAGCGGGGGAGTGTCCTGGGGCGGAGTATTCAAGTCCCGAGGCAGTCACAAACACAAACGGTCCTCTGAAACTCCACCCGATGCGTTTGAGGGAAAGGACCGCCCGGCACATGGGCCCCTGCAGGAACCCAAGGCTTTGACAGCTCTCGCGAGGATGGCCTCCACCCAAAGACGCAGCAGCTGGAGACGAGCCACGGCCTGGTTCGGGCGGGTGGCAGTGTCCCAGACAAGGCAGTGCCACATGAGGGCAGGGCCCAGCGCTGCTTTCCGAGCCGGGTCCTAGAGTATCAGAAGAGACAGACTGCGGCTTCTGGACGGGCAGCGCTGCCCAGTTGTAGACAACCACTGAGATCTGGCTTGCTCAAGCTGAGTACCGTGTGTGCCAGCAACCTCAACACCGAACGTTGCGGCCGCCCTCAGGACCGTCTGATACAGTCTGCGAGTGGTGCCCAAGCACGTTTGAGCATGCTGATGCTGGTGAGTATCTTTTTTATCTTGGTCAGACTTGCAGTGTTTTTTTCCGATGCTTGCGCCATTTGCGCTGGGGCCAGCCGGCCCCGCTTTCAACCCCGAGGTTGGCCCCAGATCGGTCCAGGGAAGGACCCGCCAGATCCCCAAGAGCTTTCTTGAGTTTGTCCTGGAGGGACTGATGAGACGCCAGGAGCTGATTCTTCTTGTGGGCAATCTTGCACGTAAGCTCGTCAATGATGCAATCTGCCAGCGATCTGGCAACGATGCTGGGCTGGCCGACGATAAGGCTGAAGCTGCGCCCGTGGCAGTGCAACAGCAGGTCATCGATAAACATGGCAAGGCAAACGTGCTGGTAGGCGGCCGCCCGCTTGTCTAAAGGGCCGAGCACATACATTTGGACGAGACGGGCGGCCCAACTGAGTCCTGCTGCTATGCCCTTCCACGGCCTCCCCGCCGCCATGACAGCACACTATCATAAAGCTACAATGCGGATGCTGCCACACTGCGTAAGAGACACTGGGAATCCCGATTCAACGGGTCCTGTGGCGAAATACCCGATCGAGGTTTTTTCAGAATACTGAGATACATCCCAGAGCACTTGAGCGGAGATTGTTGTTCAGCCGTTGAATTGTGGTATTCATACTCCCATTCCAATCGATCTTTTGTAGACTACCTATACGATGGAGCGGCCCGCCTGGTGAGCAAGATATGGCCGACGGTGTTGGTGCTCCCACTCGCTGGCCGCAGATCTTCTCAGGCGAGTCCAGACACGATACAAGGCGGGAGGTATGCCTACAGTCCGGAAAGATCGCTGATTGGCTGGAACATCGTGTTTTTTTTTCTAGTTTGTTCATGAGGGCCGAAATGATGTCTCGAAGCTGTGTCGGCATGTGCCCAGCCTTCGCAAGGATCGAAATCGTTTTGCAAACTGTTTCAGCTAGCTCATCACAGGGAATGACGGCATGGCGAGGGTAGAAACCGTCCCAGGTGGAAGCGGTCGAATGAGGGAAGCTACGTTCCATCTCTCTAATCTTTTCGTGGGTGGTCGGACCCAGCGCGATTCTATCATTTATGTCAGGACGAAAGTGGGGAGGCGGCTGGGAGGACTTTTGACATATTTAGATAATATGCCGGCTTCTACCTACAAACCAACTTGCGGTGAGCCTGTGTACTGGCCTTTGTGCCGCACCGAGATGGGCTGCCAGGCCTCCAGCCGCTTTGACCACTTGTGTGCCCATCCCATTCCCCCCTTGGTGCCAGTCTGCACCCATTCCCTCCAAGCCTTCCCATCTGGAGCAGGTTTCGCGGCCTGTTCTTGGTGCAGCAGCTTGGTAACTTGCTCTAAGAGCTCGTCCAGCACTTTGATCGCCAGAGTCTGGTCCATAGTGCTGGCTTGAAAATAATCATGCAGCAAGCCTGCAACAACTCGAACATCCTGGATCCCCTCTTTCAAGGCCGCTACATTGGAGAACAACTGTGGGCGATCCTCGAGGCTGTCCAGGCATTCCTGGAACTCCTGCGAGTCCCAGTCCTGGATGCATCGTCTGAAACCCTGAACGCGGTTGCTCAAACGCCTAATCGGGCCCGTCTAGGCCACTCATGTGGTCCTACTAGCGCTCTTGGCCTCCGCTGGGGCCCAGAGAACCAGAGGGGGTGGAGCCCTGGGGAACTTACTGGGTTCGAGGGGAGTGTTCGTTTTCTCACTGATTGTAACCTCCATGTCTTGGGCCAGTGTGAAGTAGACGTGGTCCAGGATGGCACTCGGGTGTTGAACGGAGAGAGGCTGCGGAATATCTTCGATCAATTGTATAGCATACTCAACTACGGCAGCAGTCTGGTGTCAACTCGCTTCGGCGAGCTGATGACCCACGGGCACATGGGTGGGCAACTTCTCAGGCCTGAGAAGCGTCGGGATGGACAGGTTTCGGAGGCCTAGAGGTTGACACCAACACCAATATCGGCGGCGTGCTTCCCCCGAGGGAAGATGATCCAGACCCCGACACTTTATTCTGGCACGGCCGCCGCGCCCCCGCTCGCCCCTTCCCCCGCCCCGCTGGCCTCCCTTTCCTCTTCCCCCCCCAGCCAGCCAAGCTCCTCCTCTTCGCCCTCCCGCAGCATTCAGCCCCCCCCCCCCGTCCCCAGCCAGCGCGCACCCCCCTCCCCGACCATTTTATTTTCCGGCAGGGCACGGCACCAGCACCGCGATCCCCCTTTCCCCCGC